TTCATCCAAAGGAGTTGAAAACATATCCATATGAAAACCCGCACACAAATGTTTATAGTAACTTTATTTCTAGTTGCTAAGACTTAGAAGCAACCTAGGTGTCTAGTAGGTGAATGGATAAACTGTGGTATGTCCAGACAATGGAATATTTTTCAGCATAAAATAGAAATGAGTTATCAAGCCATGAAAAGACATAGAGGAACCTTAAATGCATATTACTTGTAAGGTTTATTCTCTGTAAGGTTTATCGCTGAGTTTAAAATGAGGAAACTGAGGCCTGCATGAGAACAATTAGATGCCAATTTATTTGGCTCCTGGCGAGGTTCTATGGTCCAGGGAAAGGGCCAGAGAAGTCGCGCCTGACTCCTTTCAGGCGTGGAGTTATATAGGGAGGGAAGGCGCTCTGATTGGCTGTGGAGAAACAGGACGTGGACATAGCAAGCTGCTATAGGTAGGTAGGTAAGCAGGATTTCTGGTGAGCGGGCTGGATGGGGCAATGTGCTATTGGGCAGGTTTTGGCTGGGCTTCTTTTAAATTTTGGCGGGGTTTTCCAACGGCTGGCTAGGTGCCGAGTGCAGAGTTTAGTGTCAAGTGCAGATTCTGGTGCTGAGTGCAGAGTGGATTTCCAACGGGCTAGGTGCCCGAGTGCAGAGTTTAGTGTTGAGTGCAGAGGTGGGCGTGGCGAAGCTAGATGCTGAGTGCAGATTCTGGTGATGTAATTTTCAGGCGTGGAGAGGGATGGGTGTGTCCAAGCTCCTGCTGAGGCAACCGGCCTTACATTACTAAGTGAAAGAAGCCGATTTGAAAAGGCTACAAACTGTATGTATGTCCAGTTATATGACACTATGGAAAGGCAAAAATTATGGAGATTTTTTCAAGATCAGTTGTTGCCAAGGGTTGAGGAGAAGAAGGGATGAATGGATATAGCATAGATGATTTTTACAGCAGTGAACTACACCCTATAATACTATAATGGTGGACCCATGTCAGCATATATTTGTCCAGATCCATAGAATGTGAACTGCCCAGAGTGAGCACTGATGTGAACTCTGACCTTGGGTGATAAGAATGCATCAGGATCGGTTCCTCAATTGTAACAAATGTATCATTCTGGTTGGGCACATTGATAATCAGGGGGCTGTGCATGTGTTGGGAACAGGGGGCATATGAGAAATCCCTGTACTTTCCACTCAGTTTTGCTGTGAACCTAAAACTGCTATAGAAAATAAAGCCTGTTAAAAAAACAAAACAGGCCGGGCGCGGTGGCTCACGCCTATAATCCTAGCACTTTGGGAGGCCGAGGCGGGTGGATCACGAGGTCAAGAGATCG